TACACAAAATAATTAAAATCACTATAACATCTATGAACTTAAAACGACGCCACATTAATTTACTTAAATATTCAAAGAACAAAATTTAATATTTTTCGTAAATTATATATATTAATGATTTAATACCCTTACAGAAATAAACTAAAACTTAAAACGATATTTTAAAATTTTCGATACGGAAAAAAACTATGAAATATATCACAGTGAAATTTCAAATCAAGTACGTAAAAATGTAATCTATTATATTATTATCACATAAATTTTTAGGCAGAACACAGTAGTAAAATAATATAAAATTATAACTGAATAAAAGTCACTCAGGTGCGAAAATTACCTCCTGATTTCTTCTTTGTTCTTTTGGCGCAGTTTTGATAATATTTTGGGCTAAGCTCGCTGGAGTACAACTGATTCTTGCCTCTTTAAATTAATATGCCGTATCTTGAAATCCACATTTTATTTTCCTCATTTTCGTTTACCAATTAATAAATTAATATCTTCGTAGTTTGATTGTCTTTATAGTACTACACATATTTCAATTTTAATTTTGAGTAAACTTCTTTAAATAATTATTATGGCCACTTCTCGTATCAGTTTTTGGTTTCCTTGTCACATCCGGTAGTATGTTAATTAAATAACTGATTTTTATTAAATATTATTTCTTTATTATTTATTTAAATTATTTTCCCATTTTATTAAAAAAAAATTGCAGACCGCGGCGGTGCGCTGCGACATTGCACGCGCACCGACTGGCAGGGTCGCCACGTAATGTTGTACGGTTGGTAAATGAAAGAGAGACGTGTTTACCTACTCAAGAATTTAATTGTACTGTCACTTATTCTTTTTTTTTTTTTGCGCCCGAAGCAAATATGGGCAACCCTCCGGAAAGCGGGGGAGGGAGGTTGAGAATGCTCATAGCATACCACGCAGCCGGCTGCGTGGTTATGTGTGTGGTGGTGACTCTTACCCACTAACTCAACCTTTTAGGAATTGGCTTAACGATCTGCCTAGAGATCTCTAAGCCGTATACGAACGCGACCCACCTTGGCAGAAAGGAGGGCGCAAGGCAGAAAGGAGGGCGCAACCGTCACTTATTCTAAACTTAACACAAATATATATAATTTCGTGGAGCCACATTACACCATACAATTACCTATTCCTGCGGGATTCGAACCCGCTGCCTCCAGCGCTGAAACTTATTGCTAAGCTACTGTGCTACGGAGCCGTCTTTACTCGTTTGTTGAAACTGAAGGTTTATATATATATATATAATTGTTTACTCAAGTTTTAAAGTTTACTTTCAAAGAATGTTTTTAAAAATCAAGCTGAAATAAATAAAATACACCCTACTCTGATGGAAATTATATGGAAAAATAATAACATAGAAGCAACTATAACATTTCTCACCTCACCTCACAGAATGAGGAATTAAACATAAAATTGAACAAATGGAACTCCAAACCAAAAAAGACAAAGATTATATAACTATATTGGAGGACAACATCGAGGATCTACAACGCGAAAACCGAAAGACAGCCATCGGACTGAAAAATGTTCCGAAAATCACTAAAGAATCTAAAGAGGACTTAATTAAGATGGTTTTAACTTTATCTAAATATATTGGTTGTAACCTTGAGAAAAACGATATCAAAGACATCTATAGAGTCCGGAGTAAACGTGACATTAATAAAAGTCCAATCGTTGCTGAAGTGACGTCAACACTACAAAAGACGGAGTTTTTAAAAATGATTAAGTATTTAAGAATAAAGCAAAAGGAGAAATTGTGTGCCAAGCGTCTAGGCTTCACCACCGACGAATATTCACCCGTATACTTTAGTGAGTTTCTGACAGCAAAAGCAGCATGACTGCATTTTCTTGCTCGTGACCTTGCTAAGACAAAAGAGTATAAGTTCTGCTGTTCTGCATATGGAAGAATATATGTTAGGAAAAATGAGAGCTCACCTATAATTTTAATTAAAAATGATTCACATATTCAAAAAGCCTTATGCAAAAAGCATCACTATTTGTACTAAGTATTTATTTTGTATTGATATATTTTTGTTTATATGTTTATTGTTCTTGTAAAATTAGTGTTCCTAAAATAATTAACCTATATAAATGTGAAATTATTATTGTTATCACAATGTAAACACACACACATGAAAATAACACACATCACACATATCCATCCGCTCTCATAAATATATTAAACAAACTCATCTTGACCATATTTACAAATTATTCACATTAAACTTACACATATCATAAAAGTACTCCTTTACAATCAATACATAAACACTTAGAATTAAGAAACGTAATGCAAATTATATAGAACTGAATTTAATACTGATTATGGATAGTTATCCAAATACTTTGCATGAATTAGACGATATAGGCATTGCACAATCCAGTGAATGTCAGGTCCAAGACTTTATAATAACACAACAAATAATACATAAATTCGATATAACTATTATATCACAAAATATTCGGAGTATTTACAGATACTAATTAATTTAATTTAATTAGGTAATTGCAGTCAGGGATGCGACAGTGTGATGTCGCTCGGCAACTAAATCTATCCCACTTTTCCGTTCGACCAGTATTCCAACAGTTTCAGGACACCAGTGGCTATATTTGAAGGCGTGGATCTGGGCGACAGCGCTGCACATCTCAAAGAGACGATGGATTCATTGTATCGACATCTTTACACAATAGATTTTCGAATGCTGTAGAACTGCAACAGCAGCTACGATCAGCTCGCAGAAGATCTTTAACCCGTTCACTCGGCTACCGATTTGATCAGATCATACAATACCTACCTTACGTCGGCTCTGGTACGGGTCGAATTAGATCAGGTCGGATCAGAAGTACTGCCTTATGAAAAAACTGTTTTTTCCTTTAAAACAAAACCAAAGACAATATGCCATAGATAATAGTATCAAAGACAAAGATATGCTCTTTTATTTTAAACCATAACCTGGCAATGTTTCTTAGAAAAAAAAAAAGAAATCTCTCTGAACTTTCGGCTTTCCACGTGTCGTTTTGATGAAGGTGCTCCGTCTTTTTTATAGAATTTTATATTTGTGTCTGGACTAAAAACGAAAGTATTATACTTTTTTATATTCCTTGTAATATAGTGAACACGTAGTATATAATTTGTGGTATAAAAAGTGAAAAGTAAATTGCCAAAAGTACTTCAAAATCTGGAAGGCCCATTTTGGCGGTTGGGTCATAAATGTGTTATTTTTCAAATTCTCATTTATTTTTAGTGTAAAATGTAAGTAAAAATAGTTTTCTTACATATTTCAAATAACTTGACGTTGTATTTATTTCAAATTCACACATAATTATTTTTGAAATATTGTTCTAAATGTCACACAGATAAAATATTATTATTGTTTTTTTTTTAATTTTTTGATATTTTAATATTTTGGTATGAGTAACGAATGGAAACATATAAAACATAAAAATATACATATTTCCAAACATTTTCATATAAATTTCTCCAAAAACAAAAGTGTAGAATTCAAATTAGTAGTAATTTTGTCACTAAAATTGAAGTATATACTACTACTATGCTATACAGGGTAATTTATGTATTTTATTACAATTTCTAGCAACCAAAAATAATTTTATTCGATAGTTTATACATTCAAAAGAAATCCTGTAAGTTTTATCCATAAATATTGTCTCAAAGTGAAAATATAGCAAAATTTGCAATATAGCAAAAAAATTTTCTAACTTACAAATTTTCCCGCCATTAAGGTCCCGAGCGAACGGGAGTATAACATGTCGCGCGCTGTCAGAGCCATGGGGTGCATCCTTACGAACAGAAGACGAAAGAGATAAGAAAATTGCAGCGCATATACCTGCAATTGGTCCAAAATTGACCGCACAACATCGCAGAGATCGATTGCAATTTGCACGCGATCATATTGATTGGAACGATCGATCAATGGAGCAGATTACTTTCTTCGCATGAGACGAGAGTATGTCTTTTCTGCAATAATAAACGCAGAAAAGCATACAGAAGACAAGGGAAACAATTTGCATAAGCCTGTATTGAAAAAAACAGTTGGATTCAAGGGTGGCTCATGCATGTTCTAGGGTGGCATGTCAGTCGACGCCAAAACCAGCCTAGTCTGCGTTTCCCGCAGTGGTTTCCCGGTGCTCGTGGTCAAGGGTCTTTGACTGCTCACCGATAAATTATGGAAATCCGAGAAGCGTTTGTGGTCCCATATGCGGGCGGCGTCTGTTGGCGATGGATTGACATTAATGCCTGACAACACCCGCTGCCATAATGCAATAATTGTACGTGATTACCTTCTAGAGGTCGGTATCTCTGTTATGCGGTGACCGGCGCAAAGTCCAGACTTGAACCCGATAGAGCAACTCTGGGATGATGTAAAGCAGCGAGTACGGACTCGTAATCCTGCCGCAACCACATTGCAAGAACTCGAGGAGGCTATCATTGAGGAATGGGACAAATTCCTCAAGAACGCATTGTTAAGTTATTAGTTTAATGAAAAATTGTATGGAAGCAGTAATTAAGGTAACGGATGGTAACACAAGGTTTTAGACCGTTTCAAAACATATTTTTATTTAATTATGTAAGTTGCAATAAATCGTTATTAACCATTATTTTTGTATAATGAGTAAATTTAATTACCTTATATGTATATTCATTAATAGCATATTCATTGACTCACCATTGATTAAATGGATTTAAAAGTAGTTTGAAGTAGAAATTTAAAGAGGTGCGATTTTTGTGACGCCGAGTGTATTAATACATACTACTATCGTTAAAGATTTAAATTTAAATTCATTGATACATATGATTTTTTATGACAATAAGAGTTGTTTAAATAATAACTAAGAGTGGGCTTGCTCAAAGTTTATTCTGGTACTATGAAATGCAAAATGTAACATAGAATTTTCATAATAACATTGTTATAACATAAAATTCTGACGCTAATTTTCTTAGACGCATGACGAACGGCTTAATAACGATAGCCACCACATCCACATCCGCCGGCGCATCTTCCGAAACCGTATCCAAGACCATATCCATATCCAATACCGGTGCCATAGCCAATACCAGTGCCATAGCCAATACCAGTAGGATAGCAAGCACCGGTACCAAAACCAATACCGGTATCATAATCAATACTGTCACCACAGCCAATACCGGTACCATAGGCAACACCGGTGCCATATCCAATACCGGTACCATAACCAATACCGTCACCACAGCCAATACCGGCATCATATCCAATACCGTCACCACAGCCAAAACCGGTACCATAGCCAATACCGTCACCACAACCAATACCGGCACAATAGCCAACGCCGGCACAATAGCCAATACCAGTGCCATAGCCAATACCGTCACCACTGCCGATACCGGTACCATAGTCATAATCAAGGCCTAGAATCGATCCACAGTCATTGCCTGCTGCGGGTGCGACGCCGAGACAGGCGCCGTGAACATTCTAGAAACAAAAGAAGCAAAGAATTTAATCTTTTTATGAAAATTTGTATAACAAATGTTAAAACATGGATGTTTTGAGAGTAGCAGATTTTCGAATCTTCGAATAATTAATTTTAAATATTCTCTTGCAACAACTATATATATTATGTGCCACAGTTGCAAAGCTTGGCAGGCGGATTGCCAGACGTAGTTTTTTATTTTCTACTTGTTATTAGGAAGATGCTTCTGCCAATCTCTTAACTTGTTAACTTCCTTCGTCTCTCACGAGAGAGTATTATGTTTATTATTGGTATTTTAAGTTGTCTCTCACGGCACCTAAAGGACTGTAATAGGTGACGAACCTTCTTGCGCCGCAACACACGGCACACAAAATTATACACAGGCTGCACTAAAAGTATCGGGAATGGAATATTTCCACAGTTCCTGTCATATTAAAATCTTTTTAATTGTAAACTCCTTGGTTTTAAAAATCGAATACCATTTATTTATTTAAAAAAAGATTCTCGGTCTTGTCACAAGGTTTTGTCAAACTCAGTTGAGAAAATGGAATTGACTCGAGAAAATTCAAGAGCGATGATTTATTATGACTTTCGAAGTGGTTTAACACAAAAACAGTGTGTTGACCGGATGATTTCTGCATTTGGTAATCAAGCCCCATCAAAAACCACAATTTATCGCTGGTTTGCTGAATTTCAACGTGGACGTGAGCTCAGTGATGATTCCCATCAAGGTCGTCCAAAAACTGCAGTCACCCAAGAAAACGTTGATGCCGTGCGTAAGCTGATTGAGGAAGATCGGCTTGTGACATACCGCGAAACTCAGGCAACTTTAGACATTGGCATGAGTCAAATACAAATAATCTTAAATGAACAATTAGGTGTAAAAAGTTGTTTTCCCGATGGATACCGCATTCGCTCTGTGAAGAGCAAAAAGCGGTTCGCGTTACTTGGTGCGTCAGAACTCTCGAAAGATTCCATGCACGATCCTCAAATGCTGTATACAACAAACGAATCCTGGATATACGCGTACGAACCCGAAACAAAAAACCAGTCACGAGTTTGGGTGTTCGAAAACGAGTTAAAGCCAACAAAAATAGTTCGTTCACGGAGTGTTGCAAAAAAAATGGTGCCCACGTTTGTCTCCAAAACCGGCCATGTTACGACTTTTCCTCTTGAGGGACAAAGAACGGTTAATACAGAATGGTATGCTAGTATTTGTTTGCCACAGGTCGTTTCTGAACTCCGTAAAGAGAACTGCAACCGCCGCATCATCCTCCATCACGACAATGCGAGTTCTCACACCGCACACAGAACAAAACAGTTTTTAGAGCAAGAAAAAATAGAATTATTAGACCATCCGCCGTACAGCCCCGACCTAAGCCCTAATGAGTTCTATACTTTCCCTAAAATAAATAATAAATTACGTGGACAGAGATTTCATCACCTGAAGAAGCTGTAATGCAAAAAATGTAATGCAATACTTCACAATACAGAACCTCAATGCAATAAATTAACTACGGCATTGTATTTGCGTTACACAATGCCATTTTTCAGATAAATGGGAACGTGATATTGAGAGTTATATGTCAAGGTCTACTATTGAAATAAAAATTACAGGTGCGTTTTATCAGTTTTCTTTGATTGAGATATAACAATTTTTGAAGATGGTTAGAAAATTATTAGTTGTTAGCTTATTTACTATTATTATTTTTTGAATTGTTATCGGGCTGGTACTGCCACCATCTTCTGTTTCATTACCCTCCGTCGCCTTTTGCTACAGTCACAGGATGATAATATGAAGTGGAGAATTCCCTTACGCTGATATTTTAAGTTAAATTATTTAACCCTTAAGTGCATGAACTTTTTGTTTTAACTAATTTAAACATATAATTTAGATGTTTAGGTCTTGAATTTGGGAAAAATAAAGAAAAAAAATTATTTTCATTTTTTTAAAGTAATTTTAATAAAAAAAAGTTTGTATCATTTTTGATACATTATGCATTAACGTCATTTTTTGTACGGTAAGTTAAGTAACTTTCCTACCTAACCGATTTTGTTGAATAGTTCCCAGACATAATATCCCTTTCTTAGCTAAGTAATACATATGAGATAAAGAGGTGTGGAAATTGTGAAAGTAAACAATGTGGTTTACTTTGCGTGGGATAATCCTCAACAATTTTACAACAGTGTTCCCAACCACTCCCAGATATGGCTCGTTTTCCAACATAGGTTCATTATCTTTTCCTGTATAAATTATAATTTTGTATGCATACCCTACCAGAGAATATAGCATATAAAGTTTGAACCCCCCATTTGTGAGGTTTATTTGGGAGGTATTGTTTTAGGAAGTGGCCCATTTTCGTTGAACACATTTTTATGTGTTCATCTATGGAAAGCCTATGGTCTATATGAATGCTGGAAACTCTCATTCAGATGTTCTACCTCAGGTCGCAGCTTGTGTAGTTTATCGTGGTTGGGGTTGTCTATAGGCAGATATTTGAAGTTGTCGTTAAAATGTAATATATATCAAATTTTTTCAAATCTATATAATGTCATACTCTGTATAATTGGCATAATTCCGTATTTTTTATTCCAGTAAGCTCCTATATTTGGATGATGAAAAACTGACATAGATATTAATTCCCATCAAGTACTATTGTAACTTTGATTTTGTGATTGGATCTGGTCGGTCGGGATTTTTTTGGATTGAATATCGAGTAGACCTTTTACAATCTTATCTAAAAAATCAGGAGTAAAAAAATAACTGAAAAATTTATATGGACTTTCTAGGGCTATAACTTAGAGAGAATATTTTGTCTCATTCTGAAAACGAATGCTATCTTCCCAAAACTCTCAGGAATGTTTCCTCCATTTGAGTCTAGCAGTTTCAATCGTAATATGACACCTGTTGGGAATATTTTGTGCAAAACCACTACCTTCATTCACTAAGGGAGGATTATCATCATTTCGCAAATAATTTTCGTCATTTACAAGAGGTGGTACACCTTCGTCCCGGATTTGAGACTTATGGAAATCACCGTAACCCATTTGTTCTTCCCCGTGATTTACTAAAGCAGCACGAATTTCGTCAATATTTGGGTGATAATCTAATTCATAATCATCAGACTCTGCTTTCTCCTCCGATAAAAATCGACCTTCCAATATTGCTAAAAGGTCTTCAATCTCATTATCTTTTATTTTTCTTTTTTCCATGCTCAAAAAGTGAGGAAAAACATATAACAATCACATATCATACAAGCCTACTATACTAGCGAAAATGTACAAACGGGACCTACTAACTGCATAATGTATCATTTTTGATACAACTAAAATTATCATTTTTTTATCAAACGCCAGTAAAATTCACTTGAAATATGTGTTTAACAGTGAAACAATACTCTAACCTGTATTTTTAATATTTTTCCGGGTCAGCTTTTGTGTTAAAATCACCCCAAAATAAATCAATAAAAATTTGTAATCCCACGAAAAAGGTTATGACAGACAGGAAAAAAGTTTTCATAGTTACCGCCAAATTATTTAGGAAAAAGTCATCGATTACTTAAACATTCTAAAAGATGATTAGGCATAAGACATATTTAACATACAGCATAGTTGTGTGTACGTAGTTTAACAAAATTATGAATCGATAATCTCATCGTATCATTTTTGATACAATATGCACTTAAGGGTTAAATAGACGATGCCGAACGATGTCGAAGGTTTGAGGCACGCATGGTACTATGATATTACTTTTCTCAACTTTGACAATTTCGTACATTAATAAATTAATTTTCTCTTTTTTCTGTTTCATTTGTCTACTTCTTGTTATTTTCACCTAGTCGTCAACCCGACATAAATGGAATACATTATTAACAGAAAAAAAAACTTTTTGTCACACACATTTCAAAACAAACAGCGTTTTGCTATTATTTTATGTTGGCATTCTGCGAGAATGTGGTTCCTCCCCGGTCAAGACTACCTATTTTCTTTGCAGCCACTACAGAGTTAAAACTTACCGTTTATTTATTACTGCACAAAGCGTTTTCTAGTTAATATAACAAAATTAAACTTTTAAATACCGACTTCCAAATCTAAGAATAATAATACAATATCTACACAATAGTTTCTGAAGTATAGTGTATCGAATAATTAATGCTAATCATATGGACATATAAGAAAATTATTTCCAAAGATAGATTTTTTTTGCTTTTTGGTGGACTAGTGCCCAAATACTCAAACGCTGCTAAATTGTAAGTCACGTGCTGTCTCCAATTTCGTGCAATTTAAGTTAAAATGTGACTGTGACACCATGAGATTTAAAGATATCTTAAAATTGAGTAGCGTTTGAGCATTTGGCCATTATAGTGCCAGGTAACTACAACAGTATTGTCTAAACTCTAAACAATTACATTAAAAATTTTCTTACCACATTATCCAACGTTAAGGCTCCTATACTACCTATTTAATAAACAAAAATAAGTCAAGTTTTTTCTGAGAAATCGGTGAACATACATAAATAACACACACTTCGAATCTTATACATGTAAAAGACGATGTATACATCCTCTTAATGTGTATATCTTTTATCGAATATGAAATCGTTTAACTCAAAATCTATTTGATCGATCAACATGAAAATTGGTTTTTATTTATAAACTTAAAAAAAATGAAAATAAATAAGAAACAAACAAATTTAACATTTTTGATTGTATTTGCTTTTTTTCAATCAATCGCGGTTTAAGCTACATGCGCTAAACTAAAAATAAAAACGTTGCTGTACCTATGATATTAAGTGGTAGGACAACGTCTGTCAGTTAATATCATAGGTGGCGTTCAGTAAGTAAAGTAAAGTTACAGCCTATATACGTCCCACGATTAGGCATAGGCCTCCACTCATTTCTGAGAGGGTTTTAGGGCAAGGACACTTGCCCGCCGCACTGCCTCAATGCGTGTTGGCAAACTTCACATGTCTCCCAAATATTTTTTTCTTATTCCTCAGACA